CTGATGAGATCATCGAGGAGCATGTGGGAGCCAAACTGGGTATCCAGATCCCGCTGTTGGTTATTGACCGGAGAGCAATCTCGGTCATGTCTACATGTCTCCCGAACCCGTAGGGTCTACACACTTAAGGTTCGATGACGCTAGGGTTGTAGGGATATGTATATGAAGTAACCCGAATGTTGTTCGGAGTACCGGATGAGATCCCGGACGTCAAGAGGAGTTCCGAAATGGTCCGGAGGTAAAGAATTATATATAGGAAGTGCTATTTCGGCTATCGGGACAAGTTTCGGGGTCACCGGTAGTGTACCGGGACCACCGGAAGGGTCCCGGGGGTCCACCGGGTGGGGCCACCTATCCTGGGGGCCCCATGGGCTGAAGTGGGAAGGGATCCAGCCCAAAGTGGGCTGGGGCGCCACTTCCCCTAGGGCCCATGCGCCTAGGGTGGGGGAAACCCTAAAGGGGGGTGCCCCCTTGCTTGGGGGGCAAGCCCCCACCCCTTGGCCGCCGCCCCCCTAGGAGATTGCATCTCCTAGGACCGGCGCCCCCCCTAGGCCCCCTATATATAGTGGGGGGATGGAGGACCTCAGACCTACGCCTTTGGTGCCTCCCTCTCCATCTCCAACACCTCCTCCTCCTCCATAGAGCTTGGCGAAGCCCTGCCGGAGTACTGCAGCTCCATCACCACTACGCCGTCGTGCTGCTGCTGGAGCCATCTTCCTCAACCTCTCCTTCCCCCTTGCTGGATCAAGAAAAAGGAGACGTCATGCTGACCGTACGTGTGTTGAACGCGGAGGTGCCGTCCGTTCGGCGCTAGGATCTCCGGTGATTTGGATCACGTCGAGTACGACTCCCTCATCCCCGTTCTTTGAACGCTTCCGCGCGCGATCTACAAAGGTATGTAGATGCATCCGATCACTCGTTGCTAGATGAACTCATAGATGGATCTTGGTGAAACCGTAGGAAATTTTTTGTTTTCTGCAACGTTCCCCAACAGCGCCCCCCTTCCCTAGTCCAATTCGGACCAGACCAAGGGGAGGGGTGCGGCCACCCTTGAGGCCCTTTTCCTTCTTTCCTGTATGGCCCAATAAGGCCCAATACGTATTCTCGTAACTCTCCGGTACTCCGAAAAATACCCGAATCACTCGGAACCTTTCCGATGTCCGAATATAGTCGTCCAATATATCGATCTTTACGTCTCGACCATTTCAAGAATCCTCGTCATGTCCCTGGTCTCATCTGGGACTCCGAACTCCATCGGTACATCAAAACTCATAAACTCATAATATAACTGTCATCGAAACCTTAAGCGTGCGGACCCTGCGGGTTCGAGAACAATGTAGACACGATCGAGACACGTCTCCGGTCAATAACCAATAGCGGAACCTGGATATTCATATTGGCTCCCACATATTCTACGAAGATCTTTATCGGTCAGACCGCAAAACAACATACGTTGTTCCCTTTGTCATCGGTATGTTACTTGCCCGAGATTTGATCATCGGTATCTCAATACCTAGTTCAATCTCGTTACCGGCAAGTCTCTTTACTCGTTTCGTAATACATCATCATGCAACTAACTCATTTGTTGCAAGGCTTGCAAGGCTTAAGTGATGTGCATTACCGAGAGGGCCCAGAGATACCTCTCCGACAATCGGAGTGACAAATCCTAATCTCAAAATACGCCGACCCAACAAGTACCTTCGGAGACACATGTAGAGCACCTTTATAATCACCCAGTTACATTGTGACGTTTGGTGACACACAAAGTGTTCCTCCGGTAACGGGAGTTACATAATCTCTTAGTCATAGGAATACGTATAAGTCATGAAGAAAGCAGTAGCAACAAACTAAACAATCAAGTGCTATGCTAACGGAATAGGTCAAGTCAATCACATCATTCTCCTAATGATGTGATCCCGTTAATCAAATGACAACTCATTTCTATGGTTAGGAAACATAACCATCTTTGATCAACGAGCTAGTCAAGTAGAGGCATACTAGTGACACTCTGTTTGTCTATGTATTCACACATGTATTATGTTTCCGGTTAATACAATTCTAGCATGAATAACAAATATTTATCATGATATAAGGAAATAAATAATAGCTTTATTATTGCCTCTAGGGCATATTTCCTTCAAGATCTCCATACATGACTGCATCCCCATCGGCAGAACCAACTTGAATCTCAGGCAGCTGGGACACAACGGGTACAACCTGAAGCTTGGCGAGAGCGGCCTTTGTCAAATTTGAAATGAGGTCCTTGGAGCAATTATAAACCCTAAGAAACTATATATCATCAAATAAACCCTAATAAAGTATATATCATCAAATAAGGGAGCAATAATAGATTATTGTGTTTTCAAACAATTCAAATTTAGGAGCATTAATTTTCTGAAGTTCCTAGATTAACCTTTTTTAGTGGAGTTCCCACCTCGACGTCATTGTCCCCACCTCGCACCCACACCACCGACCTCCACCCGTAGACGCCGTTGTCCCTTCCCTTCATGGATAGGGCACCTCCCTCCTAACTGCCTATCAGCCTATCCACTCGACTGAGAGTTGGAACCAGCATCCCAAACGTATCGCCGGTTTCGGGATTCCGCTGGCGAGATATGTTTGTCCATTGTGGTAGAATCAACTACCCTTCAAGTGTAGGCGAGATACATGGTTGCAGCATGCCATGCGACCGTCATGAGGGGAGCCCCAGATTGTAGCAGTTAGCGCCCCTGTCTCCAGCAAGCTCCCCTGTGCTGTGTTGCAGTAGTGCGACTAGTGCATTACAGTAATACGGCTAGCGGCCCCAACCCCCTTGCATTATGCGTTGCAACACTGCGATGAACGGCACCCACCTCCGGTCTCCCATTGAGTGTTGCATTGCAGCACTGTGGTGAGGGG